ACGATACCCATCAATCTCAACTTGTACAGGAGACGCTGGTGTGGAACACTGTCGAAGGCCTTCCGGAAATCAATGTAGGCTGCATGTACTACAGTATTCACTCCCAATATGTGTGTTACTGTACGTCTGTAGTAGAATGACAACACAGTGTTAGATAGGTACAGTAGGACAGTCTTAGTCAGCGCAACAGAATTAGGGCAACATTAATGAGGCTGGTAGTATTAGTGACTTGAGCGAGCAACCGTTCGCCGACACCCATTTCTCTGGTGTAGAATACCGGACCAATAACACTCAAGGAAAGCTAACATCTGCTAATGAGTCCACACTTCGCCGTCCCAAACTTTGATTAAAGAACCAGCTGCCGTTTTTTTCTCCTGAAAATCCTCAGAAAGAAATATCAGGAGTTTTTTCCCCGTCAGCTCGATCATCTACTTTACATACCTCTTAACGTTGTCTATAAACTGGCAATAAATAAATAAATAAATAATGCAACCTTATTCGTGGAACTAAGACCAAAGTCCTTTGTTGTGCATCGTTCTAAAAGTGGACTATCTTGAAAGAGTAGGGGACCAGGAACTATGCAGTATCGAAAAACATGTTACTACAGCAGCCGACGTGGAACCTGCTACCAAGCGAGACGGTTTCCGCCGACGCACTCGCGGAGTTTAAAAGAACACTTAATGTCAATGTATTTGACGAAAAGCGACTTTTACAACACGTTTCTTTATTGTCAGCATTTTAAACAAATTTTGTGTCCGTAGTTTGTTTTCATACTGTTCCGAGACAACTCATTCAAATGTTTGTCATGGTTCCATATCTTGCTGCAACTTCATATTCAATATAACAAGTATATGAATTACTTTAAATTAATAGGGTCCTCAAGGGTATTCCTTGCCTGCTACCCTTCAAATATACATACATATACAACATACTTTTATGTTATAATAGTATTACGACAAGACATGGGATTCAAGAATGGTCACTTCTCCAGATTCAACACTGGAGTTGGGTATCCCTAGCTGGTGACGGCTAATGAGTCAAAAATAACTTTTCTAGAGTCCCATGTGTTGTCAGAATACTACTAGGATTTACATCTATTTAAAGTTCCTGTCCATCGGCGCCAGACCTGCTAGCTCTCCGGAATTCAACATTGTCGGCTAACATGACGACGATACAACGCAGGCTATCGACACAGTCCTTGGTTTAGACAAGTTAGAGCAACGGACCTCAAACTGGGTCGTGGTGGCAACGAGTAGAATAGAGATTGGAGTTGACTTCAATGTATCCATAGACACGTTTTTTTATCCCCTATAAGAACATTTGCGACCCATGTCGGCAGCTCCTTTCTCATTCGGATGTCAAATACTTGAGTATTTGATCTAAAGATCTTTAGATCAAACTTTTGTGTGGGACGCTGCCAAATGCTTTCTTGAAATCAGTTAAGGTGATGTTAATTCTAACATGGTCGTCACTGGCCCGCGTCAACTCTTCGGGAAAAAGTTATGAACTGGAAAGATGAGAGCGGCTTCGCGTCAAGACGTGTGAGCGATTATCCTCTAAAACTTCATTTTGGCCTTATTAAAGAGTTTCCGTTATTTTATAGCGAATGCAAACGAAGCTAAGGAGCCGAGCACCGCCCTTGTGTTTTCAGTATATATTTGCCCATTGCGATTAGGATGGCAGTTTGCTTAATTAAA